GAACGCCCATGGCCCACACACGCACCCCTGATCAAGGCGAGGGGATGGAAAGGCGGAGGGGCTCTACAGGCCTTTCCCGGGCCCTGCGCCTTGGTGCGGGCCAGGAAAGGCAGTGCAGGCTTTCCACGGGCCCCGCGCCTCGACATGGGCTGGGAAATGCGGGGGAGGGGGGACTCTGCAACTTACCTCTCTGCTTCTTGCTCCTCGTGGCCCGACTGAGGGCTGGTGGGAGCAGGGGGCGGGGCTTGCTGCATGTGCCCGCCTCCTGGGCTCAGAAGCCAGCCAGAACTCCATTCCTGTGCATTCCTTCCCAAAAATAGCCCTGATAGAGAAGCTTAAGCACTCTTCTGAAGAGTAGTGCTTTAGCCTGGCATCAAATTGTTACCCGGGAGGAGAGTGGAGGAGAATAGCTCTGGAGATGAAGTTCCACACTTTTGGTGACACTGCCTGGGAAAGGCCCTTTCCTATCTGGCTACCTGTCAGACTTAGATGTTCATGAGCTAAGGCAGTTGCCCTGCTTTTGACAGCATATGTTGGCTATACTTCCTCCTCATTGACAACTGATTGCAGTTTTTACTTCATGTGAGCTGGTGATTTGCAGTGGCAGGGATATGCAGCATTTATTTATAATTTATTTATACCAGAGCCAGTGCTGTGGTAGTAGTCACAGTGTGAATCTTGGATCAGGTTCAACTTCCCATGTTGCCTCAAAGTTCTCTGAATGACTTTGAGCCAATCACACTCTCTCAGTCTAATTCATTTCTCGGGTTGCTATTGGGATAAAATGAAGCAGGGATAACCAGTTTCAGTTTTCGTGAATGTACACAAATACCTGAGAGAACACACATGAATCCATGAAACTGCCTTATACTGAATCGGACCCTTGGGCCATCAAAGTCAGTATTGTCTACTCAGACTGGCAGCAGGTCTCCATGGTCTCAGGCAGAGGTTTTTCATATCACCTACATATCACTTGCCCCTCACTTGGAGTCTCAGAGCAACTTACAATCTCCTTCCCTTCCTCTCCCCACAACAGACACGCTGTGAGGTAGGTGGGGCTGAGAGAGCTCTTGAGAGAACAGCTCTGAGAGAACTGTGACTGACCCAAGGTCACCCAGCTGGCTGCATGTGGAGGAGTGGGGAATCAAACCCAGTTCTCCAGATTAGAGTCCAGATCTTTTAACTGGAGATGCTGGGGATTGAACCTGGGACCTTCTGCATGCCATGTAGATGCTCTACCACTGAACCACAGCCCCTCCCGAGTATGAACCCAAGTACAAACCCCCACAATAGTCATAGAACTCAATGGGTGACTTTGGACTAGTGGCACACTCTCAACCTAACCTACAGGGTCATGGGGAGGATAAATTGGGAAGAGAATGTATGCTACCCTGTGATCCTTACAAGAAAAATGGGATAAAATGTACTAGATAGAATAATTGTTTTCCATTAGTATGTACAAGCAGTTTTACAAAAAGCTATAACTCAGATTATTAAAGAGCATTTTTTAAAAAAGGATGGAATCTATTGCTCCTTCTTTCAGCTGGTTTGTAGGAAATCCAGTGTCAGACCAGGACTACCCAGGATTGAATCCCCACATCACCTGCAGAAGTTCACTGGTTGACTTTGGCCAGTTGCTCTCTCTCAGCCTAGCATACCTCATTGGGTTGTTACTGTGAGAACAGAAATGCGGAACACTGTCCTAAACTGCTTTGAGTTCTCCTTAGGAAGAAAAGTAGCATTTAAGTATCTAAATAAGCAAACATCAGATTTTAGGAGGTATCCCTTGAGAAAGCCCTCACAAGCCAGCAGAGAGGTAGATAGTATACAGAGTGGGATCCAGACTAAATTTTCTGGTAGTGAAAGGAAAGGTAGTCAATGGAACAGACCTTTTCTGCCCCCTGTTCTGCTCCAGCTGATCAATCACCTGAAATGCTGCTCCTGTGTGACAGGAGACCCTCAGGAAAGGCACCGAGGGGAAACTTGGGGGGGGGGGGGTCTGCAACAGGTAGGGGAAATTGGTAGAAATTACACCTCCTCTGTTAGGGGACATTTTAGTCTCAATTCAACTCAGTATATGTAATATCTTTCTTTATCCTGTGTTCCCCAACCCCCCAGCTGATGCAGGGGTGGTGGGAACATATTGGGACATTTCATTGTGTGATGTTATCTAAGAGTTTCTGACATCAATATTTACACAATATTTCCCTCCCAGGCACGCCTCTGTTCAGGATGCTTTGAGGTGGTATCTGGAAAAATTCCACTCTTTTTTGTAATCTCTATGGGCCTCTCTCCCTCTCCCTCCTGGGCAGGATTATAACTAATTACCTCCATTATAAACCATTTTGCAGGACATTTAATATGAACCCCAGCTAGATGTCTCAGTCTGCCCATGTAGGCACCTTTCTCTTTGGTCCTAAAATAAAAACCTCACAAGGCCACCTTTCCCCACATCTGGAGCTCTGTCTTCCTGACAGGCAAAGCCTCTTGTTTCAGGGGGGGGCGTGGGTGTGCGGGACTGATCAGTCTCTGCCTCCCCCTCCTGGCCACTGACCCAAACAGGCAGAAGAAGCATTGGTCTTTGTATTGTAGGAAACGATCATTGCGTACACAGTTTTAAAAGGGGATTGATTACACTGATTCATGGAGGAGGGGTTCATTAATGGCTACTCGCCTCGTTGACTAAAGGGAACTTCCACACTTGGAGACAGTAAACCCCTGAATTACCAGTTCTGGAAGGCAACATCAGTGGAAGGATTTGGTCTCTGTGCCCTGTTTGTTGGCCATTGTGTAAAACAGGATGCAGGACTAGATGAGCCACTGATCTGATCCAGCGGGGCACTTCTAAAGACCTCAGTGCTTGAATTTCTCATTGAATCAGTATAATGTAGAAGTGTCATGCTAGGATCTGGGACAGCCAGGTTTGAATCCCCACTCTACCGTGGAAGCTCTCTGGGTGACTTTGGGCCGGTCGCACACTCAGCCTAACCTACCCCTCAGGGTTGTTCTGTGGATAAAATGAAGGAGAGGACAGTAATGTAAGCTGCTCTGGGAGAAAGCCCTTAGGAAGAAATGGAGTAAATAAAATAATAAATAAATTCCCCATAGGGTTCTAAATCTGAAGCTAAGAGGAGAACCGGCAGAGGAGACTTCTAGTGGAACCATGTGTGAGAGAGCCCTTACACAGGTTTTGTGAGTCAGAGCTAACTTCATCAGATGCATAAGAGAGTAAATACTTTGAGCTGATTTATATGCACAATAGAGGGGGGGGGCTGTTACAAAGAGAGACTGGTTCAAAACAATACCCATTCCAAAGAGCTATCAGTTCACTAAGATTCATATATCGGAAAAGTTAGGTTACGTAGGTATAGGCCATCAAGTCGTAACTTATGGCAACACCAGCAAGGGGCTTTCAAGTCCAGTGAGAAGCAGAGATGGCTTGCCGTTGCCATTGCCGTTCTTCTGCAGAGCCTTCTGTGGTGGTCCCCAGTCCAAGTACTGATCCCGATTAGCTTCCAAGATCTGACAAGATTGGGCTATACCATGGTGCCTGCCTCCCTCCCTGAAGTCTGGTTATATTCGGACAAAAAAACTTAGAATGCAGTGTGGATATTTTCCCCCAGGTTCTCTGGATCACTCTCCCCCTATTGGTGTCCTGGCTTCTGTTAGCTCTCCCCCTGCCACACAACTAAAATGACCTCTCCCTACTGTCCTACTTAAGTTCCATATGAAGGTATTCATCAGTCTAGATCTGGGGCATCTTGCTGTCCTATTGTGGTAGTTTGCCAAAGGAGCCTGCTGCTGGGTTGCTCTCTGCCATCACCACTGTATGTGGCCAGCAGGTGGCATTGCAGCTTCCAGCTCAGCAAGGGGTACCCTTTAAATAACTTTGAATGTTCTTGACTGCTTATATTCAAGGGTTTGGGGGGGGGGTATTTTTGCAGTTCTGTGATGACATACGATGTCTCCATTTCAGCAGCAAGTCCTTACTGCTGGATGTCTTGCTTGAGGATATTGATGAGGAAGAAAGACAGAGAGAATGAGTTAATTTGCCACTGTTCACTGCTGTCATGCACATTCTTCAACCTGAGAAGATCTAACTGTGAAGAAAGTTTTAACATAGTAGTGCAGTAATTTGTCTTAAAAATGATTTAAACTCTTGCTTCATAGGTAGCTCTGGGCAGCTTCTGTCCTTCAGTCGAGTTCTGTTGCGAGAAAGGATAACGGGAGCTAGCAAGGCCTTGTGAAGTTCTGGATTAATAATCTGTCTTCCAGAAAAGCCTTGGAGGATGGAGGTACCAGACAGACAGTGACCAGGATAATGAGAAAGGAAGAAAAGGGGGGGGAATCAGTTAGGGGAGAGGTTTCTTCATTCAGCTTCCCCCTTCTTCTGGTATTCAGCCAGCCAGGTTCAAGGCCAAACTAGTTATCATGGAGGCAGCCATGTTTGTTTGGTCCTCAATATAACCTATAGTAGGGGTGACCAAACCTGCTTAACATAAGAGCCATATAGAATAAATGTCAGATGTTTGAGAGCCACAAGACATGAACAAATACTACACGTTTTTACTGGGAAATGTGCAGATTTGCTATTTATTAACATTAAATGAGACTGCCAAAAATAATAACAAAAGCGGTAAAAGCAAATATTGATAATGATATTTATTTGTCCAATGATAATTTGTTTGCTAATAATATTTAGCTTCCCCAGCCGTCCTGCCGGGAGCAGCACAATATGTGTGAAAGAGCTGCATGCGGCTCCCGAGCCACAGTTTGGCCACCCCTGACCTTTAGTAAGGATTGAAGAGGAAATATCTGATTTTTACAACGAAAATGGTGTGCGGAATGCTCCTCTTCCTCTGTGTTGCCCATCTGCTCCTTGTCCCCTTAGGCACTTTTCTGTCAGCCTGGTAGACGTGCCCCTCTTTTGCACAGTGGAAGGAATGGATATTTCTTTCTCTCCCTCCCACTCTCGATATCCTGTTTGTTTGCTCTCACAGACAGAGCCTCCGGATGTGACCCTTTCCACGGCACTGAATAACGAACTGGAAGTCCCTGTCAGTGGAGATTTTGAAATCCACGAAGAGGAGGACACGACTCGGACGGAGCTTGGTAATGAGGTGGTTGCCCTGGTTACCCCAGCAGCAGGGCCCGGGCTGAAGAAGAATGCTGAGCCGGGGCTCATAGACAATACGATAGACTCGGGAAACTCAGCCGCGCAGCTCCCTCAAAAAAACATTCTGGAGAGGAAAGAAGTGCTCATAGGTAAGGCGTGTGCAGGGGTATTTGTTTAGCAATTCTGGACCACATCCAGAAGAGCAAGAACCTAGGTAGTTAAGCAGGGATATATGTGTGTGTATCTAATCTATCTAATATAGCTAATATCTCTCAATAGATAGATAGATACAGATATTGATAGGTAGATAGAGAGGTAGATACGAGTTGAGAGAGACAGAGGGATGGATGGATGGATGGATGGATTGTTAGATTTGGTGCTGTGAAGGAAACCAAGTACCTCCACTTCCACTCAGAAAAAAGATGGATCTTGTAGTCTTTATTTTTTGGGGGGTCATCTATAGTGTGTATTTCTTGCTGAGACTCAGGGCAGATTACATAGTGTAAATCAAGTACAATCAATGGGATGGGACATCCAATGAGCAATGCAATCAAATTGGGGCTACAGAAATCAGAAAACAAACAGAAATCTCAACTAAAGCTGAAACAAAGCCTGACCTTTTAAACATTAAGTGGTGTAGAAGCTACCTGGTCTGATGCATACTTATAGTGGTAGGTAGGAAGACAGTGGTGTAGGTCACAGTCCCTCTCTTTTTACCAGTGCATCTTTCTTGCTGTTTAATTACAATACAGTCCTATTTACCTATGCAAAAAGCCCTCTTGAATAATTCCATTTTGTATAGTTCGAAGAAAGTCAGGAGAGTGGGAGCCTTCATTTATTAAAAAGTATTTGTTGCCTGGAGGTCAAAATGGCTCAGGAACAAGTCAAGCTGAGCAGCCTGCAGAGAGGGGCCACTCTGCCAGCAGTGCCAAGAATGATGGTGTAGGAGAAGGGAACTGATGAGCTGAGACTCGCCATCATGGGTGGTGCTGAAAGGTCCTGTCTTCCTCAAGGCTGAGGTCTGCAGAGTCAAGGCAATTACAGGACCAAGGGGGCTGTTCACTGGGGCTGGATTCAGTGCTGCAAATAGCTTGGGTGGTATTCCAACAGAGGATAAAAGTAGACTGAGTGCCTGAAGTGCGGCTAAGGGTACAAGCCACCTCTCTAGAACAGTTGGCTACCCTGTGAATGCACGAACTAGTCTGGGGTCAGTTCAAGAGAGATTTCAAGGGCTTCCATTGGCCCTGGGCTGAAGGTTTTGGAGGAGTTTTCCCCAGGAGGTGTGTGTGGGGGGGTCCTCTGGAGGTCCTTTGGAGGATACAGTCTCTTGGGACATCAGCTGCTTCCTCCTCAGAGTCCTCAGCTTGGAGGCCAGTGTCTGTGGTGGCTTGGTGACCAGCAACAAATGACTTTGCAGGTCACAAAATATTTGATAGTAGTGATAACACGTCAGACCTCTAACCCCCATCAGTATTTTTGTTGTGTTTCCTGTTCATGACATTGGTTGAACAAACAGTAATGCAAGTAGTAGTAGAGTCCTCAGCTTCTTCACCCAGTGGGAATCAGCCATTGCCCTGGTCCAATGGGTCTGAGCCCAGTGGCCCCTGTGATATTGGCAAAACTCATGGCTCTCTTCTGTTTGCTCCTGGCTGCCAGCACCGCCCCCTCCGGAATTTTCCCTGCAAGTTTAAAGGCCAGTCCACCCCTGAACCCAGGCCCCCTTTGTTCTGCTTCTAGGCTGACATACATAAGAGAACGTCTTGTATTTCTTCTCTTCTTTCTTCCGTATTGCTAACTCTTCTCCTCTTGCATTCTGTTTAACAGCTGTGATCGTGGGTGGGGTTGTAGGAGCCCTCTTTGCCGCCTTCCTGGTGATGTTGTTGATCTACCGGATGAAGAAGAAAGACGAGGGGAGCTACACACTGGAAGAACCAAAACAGGCGAGCGTCACTTACCAAAAACCTGACAAGCAGGAGGAATTCTATGCATAAAAGAACACCGCGAGTGCCTCGCCATTTCTTTGTCTTGATGCTGTCCTTTCTCTCTTATTCTCACCTAGCCTCTTTCTCTATTTCTAATCGGTCTGTGAAATTATAACAAGGAGGATAGAAGAAACCTCTACTGTTTATCACTTTTTTTAAAAGGTAGGAACACTCGAATCATGTTCCAGCACAGGAAGCATTCAGAGGACTTAAACAGCGCAAGGAGACAAACAGGTAGCAATCTCAGTTACCCACTGGCCATCTCCTTGGATTGGTGCTTGAGTTAGCCACTCGGCCATTTTTTTTAGCAACAGGATGTCCTGGACTAACGCCTCCTGAGAACTGGTGCATTGACTTTCATGTATGAGGTGTTCCATGTGATTTATAGCACGTGGCAATGCTCTTGTAGACAAGAGTGACACAGTATGGTCTACGCTGACTTCCAGGGCAAGGAGAACGACATCCCACCTGCTCATGGAGTGCCCCAATCAAGCAGAACCAGGCTGGAGCTGGGCCTTTGGATTACTTCACTGGAGAACTCGCGTGGTCTGCGGAGACCACCTTCAACCTCCATACCTTGCTTTGTTCCTGACAACACACCTCTTGTTACTGTTCCTGTTTTGTGGCTGCCTAACTTGGGATCTCCTAAGCTAAAAGAGGGTTTGGGTTCAACTTTGGGCCTTGATTTGTTCAGCTGGGTTTCACTGTGACATTTCAAATCCTAGCACAGGACTCTGGGCTCAGACAGATGAACAAGCAACCCCTTTCCAGAGGATTTACCTATGGGGAAGGAGAATAGATGCTCAAAAAAAGCATGTCTTATAGAAGGGGGGAAACAAATGATGTCACACATCCGAGCCATCTTGTTTGACCCATTTCTTCTTTGGACAGGGTGGTGGGGGAGGGAAGAGGCATAGCACATGGATGAAACAGAATAGTGTGAGCCCGTGATGTACTTAAGCAATTGTTTCAATCTATATGATGCTGTATAGAAATAGAACTTGATAAAGAGGTGATAAAGTATGTAAACAGCTGCTGAGGAAAACTATATTTTCCTCCCAAAATAGTAATTAATTGATCGACATCTGTTTGGGCAGGGGGGGTCCACATTTCATGTGAATTTGTCCTGTAGTATGAAGTAGCTGAACATTTTGTTGCCAACTTGGGTGAGGGAGGAGGTGGGTTTGTAGATAATACACAAACGCTACTGAAGAGCAGGGTTGAAATTCTACATAACACAGATGAACCACCACTTTGGTTTGTATGCAGTAAAATGGAATCGAAGAAAGACAACTGTTAGCTATTACATATTGGCAATTAAAGCCAAGCGTACAGATACAACATATGCTGTTGAAAAGAAGCCTGGAATAGAATAGCAATTTGTGCTTTGATTCTGCAACCCCAGTTGCAGAAATGGCAAACACCAGTGAAAATTGTGTCAACCAAAGCACTGGGTTGGATCCAAAGATGCCTTTCCACTCTCAGAAGGAGTTGTCTTGGAAGTGGAAAGTCCCCTTTGGATTCAACCTATTGTATGAATACAGCTCATTGTATGGTCACCTTAACTGAAGCACTGTGACCAGTCTGAGATATTAAGAGCTACCATACACTGGACATGATATAAAGTTGGATGAACAAAGGAGACTGTGTGTTTGATACAAATGTTGCAAAAGGGTGAAGTAGAAAATGGTATGGCTTAGTTCAGATATAATGGGGAAACCTTGGTTTACTATGGTTTGTTTTTGAAACCCCGGTTGATTTTACAAATGATTATTCAGCCCTGATTTGTTTCAGTAAATACTCATTTAGTTATGGGGGGAGATGGCTCACAAGAGGTGGTGCAAGGCAAGAGAGATCACAATTTTGAGTTGCTCATTATCTTAAAAGGTTTATTTAGATATTTATATACTGCTTTTCTCCCCAGTGGAGACCGAATGCAGCTTACTATATCATTCTCCCTTTTTCCATTTTATCATCATGACAACAACCTTGTGAGGTAGGGTTAGGCTGAGAGGTTCTAGAAGAAGAAGAAGAGGAGATTGGATTTATACCCCGCTCTTCACTACCCAAAGGTGTCTCAGAGCGGCTTACAAACTCCTTTCCCTTCCCCTCCCCACAACAGACACCCTGTGAGGTAGGTGGGGCTGAGAGAACTCTGACACAAACTGCTCTTTTTCAAGGACAGCTGTGCCAGAGCTTGTGACTGACCCAAGGTCACATCAGCAGGTGCAAGTGGAGGAGTGGGGAATCAAACCCGGTTCTTCCAGATTAGAGTCCGCACACTTAACCACTACACCAAACTGGCTCTAACCCAAGGCCACCCTGGGAGCTTTTATGGCAAAGAAGGAGATTCAATCCGGGATCTCCAAGTTCCTGACCACTGCACCTCACACTAAAAACCAAGACGAGATTAAGACAGGATACTGGACATCACATAAAAATGTAGGTAAGAATAACTGTGATTGAGAAACCCACCTCAAAACGTGGCTTCAGCTACTGGTTTGAATAACAGGAGTGGAATGTCTTGTATTCAGCCGATCAATGCACCATAATTTGTTTCATTAATTCATGGTTCTGCACAATATCTGAACTGAGCTTGTACGGTCAGGTGGGAAGGAGGAAATTGTGGGTGCGGACTAGCTATTTCCAAGTGTACATAAGTCAAACATAGGTGGAAGATCCATAATGAGCCCATCGTAGCAAAAGACTATTTAGCTTAGATTCCAAGCAACATCCAGGAAGTCCAATCAGATCTCTGGTGTTGCATTGTTTTTAAGGAGATGGCACACTTATTTGTTAAAAATGGCTAAGGCAGACACCCTATAGCATTAGAACAAAAAAACATAGTGAAAAGGTTAGGTTATCTTTTATATCTAGCATGAAGGCAAGCAAAGGATAGGGTGGAATGTGATGCTGTGCTGGACTTTAAAGGTACCCAAAGGAAAGGAACTCCACCCTTTCCCCCAACAATAAAATAATAAGGACAGTGCCATCAATTTAACCCACCTTGTGCAAACTCAGCTATGGCTGTTTCACTAACGGAGAATGGAATGAGTGGTATGGCTGGCCTTTTGCTTTCTGACACATTGAAGAATAAGGAAATTGGTCAAAATGAGTTGTTGCATCTCTTACAGAGCCATTGCTATGCTTCCTCAGTCTTCTGCTTCGTCATCCTTGAATGCAAACCTTGTCAAAGACTTCAGGAACTAGCAACAGGCCAGGCTTTCAAGGTATCGACGTCTCGTTCCAACCAGTCAGATGTTACTTGGTCTTAGAAATAACCTTCAAATATGATGAGTCTGTTTTGAGAGTGGTTGGTGTCAAGGTGAAATCTGTTCATGTTTGCCATTGGGCTGTTGGAGATTTCCCATCGTAAAGAAAGGGACACCCTACTTACAAAGCCACCTGGTCATTTTATTCCACAAACCTGTTCTCAATGAAAACCATCCTTGATTATATAGCTGTAGACCTTTCATGGCTATTCCTTTAGGGGTTAGGTCATACAACTCCCTTTGGATGCTGACTCTTCCTCCTCTGGTGAAATCCTTCTGCTAGAGTTAGGATAATTCCACTGAAGAAAGACTCCTCACTTAGAGGATTACTTTCTCCTAGTTCTACACCAGCTGCCTCATGTATGAGAACTGGGAAGAGAGACTCATAAGAATTGGAAAGTGCTGTCAAGTCACTGCTGACCTATGGTTACCCTGTAGGGTTTTCAAGGTGAGATGGTTTGCCATTGCCTGCCATAGTGTAGTGACCCTGGACTTCCTTGGTGGTATCCCTCCCAAGTACTAACCGGGGCCAACCCTGTTTAGCTTCTGAAATCTGATGAGATTGGGCTAGCCTGGGCCATCCAGGTCAGGGAGAAGTGACTGTATCCTGACAAATTTGTCTGCAGTAGTTCATGAATTGTGATTTAGGGGAACTGTTCCATGAAATACACTTGCAGGTCTCTGGTGCAGAGAAATAAAGGGGTAGTCAAAGTCATAATGAAATGAAGTCTTGTGAGCATGATGAGGGAATTTTTTAAAAAGGTCTCTTTTAAGGTCTTAATATTAAGGGCACAGTTTTCTTTTTTATATAAATGCAGAAACTTTATCAGGCTATTGTTACACCTACGACACTGTGAGACTTGGGATGAGTATGTACGATCCATGGCTCTAGTGAATTTAACATGTTTCCATGTTAGTGTTGATTGTATTTGCACCCATGAAGGAATACCTTCTACCACAACTCTGGAAAGGCCATTTTAAGGTCTGTTCTGACTTCATCCAGTGGTTGCTTTGTTGTGTAAAATAAGTCCAGTTAAGCATACCCCTGCCTTGGCTTGCCTCAAAAACCATTTTTAGGCATTCCCCTTCAATGCTTAAAGCATCTCAAGGGAGTGTTCGAGTGTTCAAAAGGAGTGCTCAAAAAATGAACAACATGGGCCTTCTCTCCTGTCATTTTCTCTCTGAACACAAAAACTTTACTTTTGCAAAGGGGAAACTGCTGGTGAGCACTGGTCAGTAAATACAGATGCTTTGCAGGACCTCTTTTTATTGGGAAATAAGAATAAAATGGCATTCCTTTTAGCTGTCATTTCCTGGCTGGGATTTGTAGTTTCCTGAGCCTTCTGGGGAGGCAGAAATAAAACTACAAATCCCATTTTCTGAGCAGTAAATAATGACCTGGATAATGGAATTTCCATTGCTGGTTAATGAGAAGCCCACAAACCTTTCCTTTGACTAGCAAGCCCTTCTTGCCCCCTAGTTATCATTTCCCACCTGTTGTGTGGGGAGGCAGTGTAGCAAAGTCCAACCCATTTTAAATTTAGCCATTACTGATGTTCATTTACTTATTACAACAGACATGAGGCACTTTAATGATGTAGAAATGGGCTGGCAGGAGCATCTCTGTGTCAGTTTGTGGTGGTGCTCACCACAGTCCAGTGGAAAATTGGGGAAAATCACAACTGACATTTGATGCACAAAGGTGCCCATAAAAGTTATGCCATAGTGTACCGATCTCTGCAACCTTCACTTGCTAAGTTGGGATTGATTTTGATCTCTTTGGGGGAACTGAGGGATAGAGAGGTGAGGCAATCTAAGGCAAGGAGTCAAGAGATCAGCTAATTAAAATTAAGAAATGTTTATGAAGCATAGCACCCAGCTTAGAAATAAACATGCATTCAAGTGCCCATCGGTGGTGGATAGCTCCATCCATTGAAATGACTGATAAAATTGGGCTGGTGTGACTTGGAGATGGGCATGATCCTGGAGGGCTTCACTGGATTGGGGTGTATATTTTAAACAGTTACTTTGAACATCAGAGACTTGGTTCTGCTGGCCCTTTGAAGGCACCAATACATCAGAAAATGGCTTCTGATTCAGATTGTCTTCTGTGGCCAAACTTAGTATGTTGGAGATCCAGAACTGGAAATCCTGATTCTGTGGGAGATGCGGTATGGATCAACATTGCAATGCAAGGTAAGAGGGTTAACTTACCCCCATTCCTTAAGTGAAATTGTTCTGTGGTCTGCTTTTAGACCTAGTAAAGGGGAAAGACAGGAACTGGGAGGAGT